CTTTTTCTCATGTTCTTCTCCTTCTTTCTCATCGCCTGGCTTGCCACAGGTTTGTCTGCTGTGTATAATAGTAGCAGCAGCAGCAACCCAGACTGACAGCAGCTCATTGGATGATTTGTATCACGTGTAGCCTAGTCCGGGCGCTCTGGGCGGCTTTACCTTATTAACAGAAGTGGAGCAAGTGAAGTTACACACTGTCGTCGGACAACATGCAGTAATTTCTAAATGTTTTCAATCAGGTGTCCGGATCCGGACCTTGGTTCGCTCATCCGTGACCTTTGGATTAGAATATTTTAAAAATATTAATTCATTTCCATAACTCAGTTCACTAATGAAACATCATCTAGATTAATAGCACAGATAAGAGTCAATTATTTACTTCTGTTAAACATGACAATTTTACTCTTAAACTTTTAAAGCTAGAAATGCATCAATCCATTTTTACTTTAACCCATACCTGGGCTGAAACTCAATACATGTCGGATACTATTGCTGAATGAATGTACTGGATATCTGGTCACACACCTGGCAAATATATACAGTTCTCTCAGTTGGATTATTGTAATGCATTATATGATGGACAAGATAAATAATCTTTTCACCTCTTATCAGTGGTCTGATATGATGCAGCTCGTCTTTTGACGGAAAATCTATAGCACATATCTCTGTTTCTGGCTTCTCTTGAGCGACCTGTTTGTTTTCATCCTGGCAGTAGCCAGATTGACATGTGAGGAACTGAGTTGAGTTCTACTTTATCAATCTGGGATGGCTGCCATTTAGTCTGACTGTGAAAAGGAGGGACTTTTAATACAATACTTCGAGGTGATTGGGCGATGTGCCAGCTAGTACTGGCCTTCCATAATACGCTTTTTAAGCCAATCGTAGCAGCGAATCATGACATTTCGTAAGCTGATAAATCAAACTTTTTCCAAATTCTGTCGTAAGGAAAGCGCAAACATCTTTCCCATCTACAAGTGTGGAACATGCTTCCTCTTGCTTCTTTTTCAAATTAGAAATTGTCGCTATTTCAGCTAAAACCAAGTTAATTTCTGTATGGACAGGCAAGTCCTCCAGCGTAGACATGTTTGTTATGCCCAAGCAAGGCCTTTCTGACTGTCGTCATTCCTACATGTCCCGCTCCCAAAAAACACTGCTGGCATGTCATTGGTCCGACTCGCTGGTTGTTACGATACAAACATATTTGCAGGAGTCTTTCAAGATAGATGATAGCCGATGGGCGATATGTCGTGATTTTTGGCTGCCTGATATAATATCAATCTTTCAGTTCTTGGTATCGATTTTTTTGAAAAACTAAATATTTTCACCTAAAACTGAGGGGAAGTGGGCTACCTCTGCACTGCCACTCTGTCAGATGACACTGTGTAGCCCTTTTGCTTTGTGGAGCTGCACCATATCCATAGTGTAGGCACTCACAGTGGAAGACATGGACTGACTCAGACCCCAAACATGGATACCAAAACAAATAAATCATCAATATCTTCTGATGAACATACACAGGACTGGCTTTTTTATCGATACATTTAATTTTGATTAAAAAAAAAGAGTGCTATATATAGTGACATTGCAATATCGTGATAATATCATATCATGATCTAAGTACCCGCGATACATATCATATCGAAACACCCATGCCGATACTCACCCCTACTTGCAACGCCAGGTTAGTTTGTTTTAGGATGTTCTCTTCATTCTCATCTTCATTTTTACACTCCAGCAAGAGCGCCTCAGTCAACAAACCAGCTTCTCTTAGATAATCCCAGATCCAGTTTGAAATTCAGAAGTGATCGAGCTTTGGCAGCTTTTGCTCCTGAACTTTGGAACAGGTTACCTTTTCATTCATTGACTGACTAAATTGTTTCTCAATATCCGTTTCTATCCTTTGGGGTTTCATTGAAAACAGAGTTTGAGATTCTCTCATAACAATTGTTATGGAGAATATTATGTTTTAGTTCTAAATAGAATTTTTTTTCTTTGAATGTTTTGTTATTATTGTTGTTATCTTGTTTTGTTTACACAAAATTTACAGCACTTCATTCAACATCAGTTGTTTTTATGTGCTATACAGATAAATTGATGCAAACATTAACAAGGTAATGGGATGACATAAAAAAAAGAAACAAATCTCTAGCCATTATTAGAGGTTATATATGTTTTATAATGCATTATGTTAACAAATAAAGAGTATATTAGCAGCAAAAGTAGAGAAAATAATAACCCTAACCTGTAAAGCGCACTGCAATCAGATATTTTAAAATGCAACATAAAATACAGCAGCTGAAACTCACTGTAATGTATTGCTAAATGTGATGATCGGTGCAGTACATTTAAAAACAGGATATCTAGGATTGAAATATATGACAAAACCAATTAAAATATGGTTAAAAACTGTGGGTTTAAAGAAAATTATTTTGAATCTGCCTAAAGGTTGCTATTTCTAAATGGTTTCATTCTCTTAATCTGACATGCAGCCTCACAGAAAATCGTAATCTATAGGCAGAAAACTGTGACTTCATTGATTTTTAGAGCCCATATGTCTTTATTAAGCAAAGCCCCTGGTTTGTTGTAAGGATTTAAGTGGCTGATTTGTATCATTTTATTTTCCAGAGCCTCAGATACACAATGCTGGGAGTTTTGATTAAAAATGGGTGGGGCTGCTCCTCTCTCTCTCTCTCTTTTCTTTTCCACTCTAAGTGAGTGACAAACCAAACCCACACTCCCATCCATCCTTTAGAAAGTCAGAGGAAGGCTAATAGACAAACCATTGATCAGAAATGCTTTTTGATACCTTTGCTGCTAATAGATCTGAGTAACTGACACTTGTGTATGGATGATGAACTTGGTACATTGAAATGTTTGTTTGGTGCACATTTTTCTACTTTTACATGAAGAAATCCAGTTTTGCCTCTTTCCTTAGTGAAAAATGTTCAAATAAATTATAACAGTAAAGTATCTACGATTCAGTTTTAATGATAACACGTCAAAGTGGGAGGGACAACAGGTGCCAGATGGACTAAAATCATTTTTTTAAGTGTTAAAAAGGTCCCTCTTGTTATGAGGCAGTTCACCACTGCTTCATTTTAGTTTGAACATCTTAAATGTATCCGAAACCTTTGAACTATATTGAACAATTCAGATTTAATTCTGACTAAATATCATCCACCTCGAAAGGCTGCGCCTCCTTACCTGAGTCGGTGTAGCGCGGTCTGGCCAGGTCCCTGAAATAATAGATGAAATCCAGACAGTTGTCGTCCTGCACCTCTCCCTTTGAACAAAGGTCGGAGAGCAATTCCAGCGCCTTTCGACAAATCTCATCCTCTCTTTCTGCAGGCATTGCCTCCCAGCATCCTTCTAACGACTGCTCCTCTCTGCCACGCACACGCGCGCGCCCGCCTCACCACCGGCGTAAATACGCACGAGCGACAGCCAGAAAGAGCCAGGGATGGTTCCTGCGCGCCAGGCGCATCAGCTACAACTGCTGAAAGTCGATTTGAGCGAAGTTGGAGAAGGGTTTGGAAATAAAAGCGGGAGGTTTACGGTGATATGTTTAAAGTAAAAAAAAAATAAAATAAAATCTGCTTGTTTTTTTTATTCAAAGTCCAAAGAGTAAGTAGGTCTCACTGTTCTGCGCCCTCTTTTCTTCCTCAATGCTTCTTCGTGTTCTTCTCTCAGGGTTGTTTTCTGAATTACCGTCTCCAGGCTTCAGCTGCGCCAGTCAAGGTCTCTTCTGAATGAAAGCATTTCTTTCACCCCGCACACTTATTTCTCAGAGCACTGAGAGATACAAAAGACGGACAGGAAGTTCAGCCTCCATCAACACTCCCTCCTCTTCCTCCTCCTTTACCAACACCATCACAAATGCATCCAAACTCCCCTTCACGCACACAAACACAGCCACCTCTACACAGAGAGAAGCCCTGACAGAAAACACACCACTTCTTCCTTAACAGTGTAATAAAAACGTATTAATTCCTCTTTATAGATGTAATTCCATATTTAATTATGTAGCATATTTTAAGCATTCTTTTTTTGTCTGTTGAATAAGACCAGGTGTCTGTTGCCTTTTTAATTCTAAAATCATGTTTCCATCAGTCCTACTAACTAAAATGTGTTTAAAGCTATCATTGAAAAAAATGATGCAACGTTTTTGGCATTTATTCAATCTAATTTAGTTACTTTAATACAACTGTTTCATGTTAGCAGGGTAGGACATAAAACAACTGTGTTAAAGTAACTAAAATATGGTTAAGTAAATGCAAAAAGTGGTAGCATTTGTTAGGTTTCTGTTTGTGGGGTTTGTTTTTTTGTGTTTTGTTTCCACCTCCAGATGGTGCTCTTTCCCTGTTCTGGCTTGGAGGGCGGCTTCTGGGTTTTTACTTCTCACCTGCAGCTTGTTGGGTCATTACCAGAGGATTATAAGAGCAACGGACTGTCACCATGTGATAACGTGGCTAATTATGAAAAATCCACGTCCAGCCGAAGCATGTCCTTTTTTTAGGTGTCTTTATTGCACACCCTCACAGAACCAACAACCAACTTCTTTCTGCCTCCCTATGCATATCTTAGCTCGCCCATAACTAACATGGGAATACAATCCCTCTTGTGGCGTGGGGGTAGTACTGCATATTATAACTAACTCAGGATACTACATCCCTCCCCTCTTAAGTTTAAAGTACTCTTGTAAATGAACTTTAAATCTATTAACTATGTCACCCTCACATTAACCTTACTTTTGCTTAACAGTGAAACTACATAGATACTCAATCTTAACACAACCTAGGACTTTTTTTTTTTTTTTTTAAATAACTCAACCATATTACTCTACTCCTTTCAAGATTAAAGGTCAAATGCCAACAATCAAACCAAATAACTCTCATGACAATTTTTTTTTTTTTTTTAAACTAGGAAGGTTGGGTAAACTGCCAAACCTTCCCATGCATGTCCCAGAGCATGTTCTGACTCTTTCTTGAAGGATATGAATTCTAATTAACAAAGTCTCTCAGATAAGCAGGAGTCTGTCTGGTGCGTGCAGATCTTCGCAGCACAGGTGTCTTTTGGGCTTCTGTCCCTAGCGAAAGTTCAGCTGGAGGATGAACCTGGGTTGACTCAGCAGGCTGCTCAGTCATTTCCCCTCCCACTGAAGTTGGAACACCTGGGTCTGCAGTCACGACCTCCACTGCCTGCTCTGGCAACTGCAGGCTGACAGGCTCTCCTTCCACCTCATGACTGGACATCTCGTTTGATGATGCTTGACGCTTACGAATCTGGTCGACGTGACGTCTCATCACACGTCCATCTCCAGCCTGCACTGTATAGGATACGGGTCCAGTGTTCTCATCCACTACTGCTGGTATCCACTTTGGTCCATAGCTGTAGTTACGGACATATACATCATCTCCAGGTGCAAAACTTCTCCACTTACTGTGTATGTCGTGATGTTCTTTTTGTTTGAGTTGTTTCTTACGAATCTTTGACTTCACATCTGGCAGCAAAAGATCCAGTGTAGAACGCAGTCTTCTGGACATGAGCATTTCAGCGGGTGACAAGCCAGTCGTACTTTGTGGTGTAATTCTGTAGTTGAACAGAAACCTGGCTATTTTTGTTTCCAGTGTATCTCCTTTTGTTTTCTTAATTCCCTGTTTGAATGTCTGAACAGCTCTTTCCGCTAGTCCGTTCGATGCGGGGTGGAAAGGTGCGGATGTTTTATGCTGTATTCCATTCTGCTTCAGGAATGTTGCAAACTCTTGACTGGTAAAGCATGTTCCATTGTCAGATACTATTGTCTGGGGAAGACCATGTATGCTAAAGCACTGTCTCAGCTTTTCAATAGTCACCTGACTTGTTGCAGTGTTTGTTGGGTAGGCATCAATCCATTTGGAATGTGCATCCACTACTATCAGGAACATCTTTCCAAGGTAAGGACCTGCATAATCAATATGCAGCCTGCTCCAGGGTGTTTCTGGCCACTCCCATGGATGAAGTGGCGCCCCTGCAGGACACTTCCTATTTTCTTGGCATGTGTGGCAGGACTGAACTTCCTTCTCGACATCAGAATCCATTCCTGGCCACCACACATATGAGCGTGCTAAACCTTTCATCCTGGACATCCCTGGGTGCGTGGCGTGCAGCTGTTTCAGTATGACGCTCCTTCCTTTCTTCGGAACGACCACTCTTGACCCCCAGAGGACACACCAATCTTTCACACTCAATTCTAGTTTCTTTTTAGAGTAGGGTTTGAACACTGTGTCCACTTCTTTTGGCCAACCTTTCATGCACCAGAGTAACACTTGCGACAGTGTTTCGTCTTTGGCTGTCCACTGCTTCACCTGAACTGATGTGATAGGCGGATCTTCCATCAGATCCAGCAGAAGGACTTGTGCTGTCTCTTCTTCTTCTTCAGTATGTGGCAGCGGCAACCTGCTCAGTGCGTCTGCATTTGCATGCTCTTTTCCTGGTTTGTAAATTATTTTGTACTCGTATGCCCGGAGTAGGGTTGCCCATCTTTGCACTCTTGGTGAACACATCTGAGGAACGGGCTTCTTCTCGTGGAAAAGTGAGATCAGTGGTTTGTGGTCCGTGCTGATCGTAAACATTCGACCATAGATGTATTTATGGAATCTCTTTATTCCAAACATGATAGCTAAGCCCTCTTTATCCAGTTGTGAGTATCTCTTCTCAGCTGGTGTTAGCGTGCGGGACATGAAACCTAAGGGTTTTTCACTGCCATCTTCCATGATATGGGACAATACGGCACCCACTCCGTATGGTGAGGCGTCACACGCCAGCACCAACTCTCTATCCGCTGAGTAGTGACTCAGGACTTTAGCTGATTTCAGCATCTGTTTTGACAGTCGAAAAGCATCTTCCTGCTCCTTATTCCAGGCCCACTGGGCCCCTTTTTTCAGCAACTGGTGGAGAGGAGCTAAATGTGTAGCTAGGTTAGGGAGAAACTTGTTATAGTAGTTCAATAGACCAAGATAAGCCTTCAACTCGGTCACGGTGGTCGGCTGTGGAGCCTCTTCAATGGCTTTTATCTTGCTTTGCACTGGGTGCAGACCTTCTGCATTAATAATGTGACCCAAGTACTCCACCTCATTTCTCAGAAATGCACACTTGCGTCTGTGAAGGCGCAAGCCTGCTTCTTTCAGTCTCCGCAGTACCTCGTCCAGCGTACTTAGATGCTCAGCTTCATCTTCCCCTGTCAAAAGTATGTCATCTAAATACACTGCTACCCTAGGCAGACCCTGTAGCAAGCTTTCCATGGTTCTCTGGAAAATTGCTGGAGCAGATGACACTCCGAAGGCAAGCCTATTGTAGGTAAACAGGCCACGATGTGTGTTAATTGTTAAGTATTTCTTGGACTCTTCATCCATTACAATCTGCTGATAAGCATGACTTAAATCTAGCTTTGAAAACTGTTTCCCTCCTGCTAGACTATTAAACAAATCTTCCACTCTGGGAATGGGGTACTGCTCTAGAGATGAAGCGCTGTTGACTGTTAATTTATAATCGCCACAGATCCGGACAGAACCATCCGGCTTCAGGACAGGTACGATGGGTGCAGCCCACTCAGCATACTTTACTGGTGTTATGATGCTCTCTCTCTGCAGTCTCTCAAGCTCCTCTTCCACTTTTGCTCTCATGGCATACGGAACTGAGCGGGGTCTGTAGAACTTGGGACAAGCTTCAGCTGACACTCGAATGGTTGCTTTCATGCCTTTTAACATGCCTAACTCTTCTTTAAAAACATCTTCATGTTTTGAAAGTACCTGCTGTAGCCCTTGTGTCTCTGTTCTCACATGTTTTATTTCATCCCACTTAAGCTTCAGTGTCTCCAGCCATGCTCTTCCCAGCAAACTAGGTCCAGTACCCTTCACCACCACTAGGGGTAACGTCTTCACTTGCTGGCCATAGATTACTTCCACATCTGCTACTCCCACAATTTTAATTTTCTCCCCTGTATAGGATCTCAGTGTGAGCTTAGTTTCTTTGAGCTGTGGCTGCTTGTTCTCTTTCCACATTTCATTAAATGTTGTCTCATTCATAACACTCACACTACATCCAGTGTCAATCTCAAAGTTTACTTTCTTCCTATTCACTTCCATCTTTACTTCAAATGGCTTAATTCTCCTTATTGAGGTTTCTGTTTTAATGCAAGCTAACGTGAAGGCTTCTTCTTGCTCTGATGAACTATCATCCTGCCCCTCACACACCTTGTGTGCTTTCTGTGGACGCGCGCGCCGCTCCTCTCTGTTTGGTTTCCTTTCATCTGGCCGCGAGCTCCCTTTATTTTTATTTCGGCAGGCTTTGGCGATGTGTCCTACTTTTCCACAGGCGTGACACTTTGCTTCTTTAAACTTGCACTCGGCTGCACTGTGTTGCTTTCCGTGGCATCTGTAGCACTCTTTCTTTTTCCAGTCTCCCTTCCTCTCCTTTCCCTCCGTCTTCATGCTGTTACAAGCTAACGGAGCTTTATTTTGAAGGTCCTGCACATTCCTACTGGCGGCTTCGGCTGCTACGGCAATTTGAAATGCCTTCTCAAATGTGAAATCGGTTTCAGATAACAAACGTCTTTGAATCCTATCATCATTGATGCCACAAACGAGGCGGTCTCTTAACATTTGCTCCAGTGTCGTGCCGAAGTTACAATCCTGAGCGAGTCGTCTCAGCTCAGCTACGTATACACTCACAGTTTCACTAGGCTGACGGGCACGAGAGTCGAATTTGTATCTCTGCACGATCTCGCTTGGTTTGGGATTGAAGTGGTCTTTCATGATAGTCACTATTTGGTTATATGTTTTCGTGCTGGGCTTATCTGGACTCACCAGGTTCCTTATGAGCTTGTATGTGGCTGGTCCCACCACACTAATGAGGATAGCTCGTTGCTTATCTCCATCATCAATATCATTAGCAACGAAGAACTGATCCAGAATCTCGCAGTACTCTTCCCAAGTCTGCTCCTTCGAGTCAAATGCTGACAGATTTCCTACCGTCATATTCATCTTCGTTTTATGTGTGCTCTTGTCCTGCGTCCGCCCGGTCTTTTTTTTTGCACCGCTTCGTCTTCAGTCCACCACTCTTTTCAATCCTCCGTCAGCTTTCCAGAATTATCCTCGTCGCCAATATGTGATAACGTGGCTAATTATGAAAAATCCACGTCCAGCCGAAGCATGTCCTTTTTTTAGGTGTCTTTATTGCACACCCTCACAGAACCAACAACCAACTTCTTTCTGCCTCCCTATGCATATCTTAGCTCGCCCATAACTAACATGGGAATACAATCCCTCTTGTGGCGTGGGGGTAGTACTGCATATTATAACTAACTCAGGATACTACACACCACCTCGACGCCAGAGTGTTTGCCAGTTTTGGTAGCCTCCTGAGATTAGCTGAGTCTAATTCTAGTCTTTGTTTCTCTGAGCCTAAGCTTTACCTTTGTCTCTTTTTGTGTTCTCCAGTAGGAAACCCTCCTGATCTGCTGGATGAGCCTGGTCCTTCTCCTCCCTTGGAAGGAAAAACTTTCGTCTCTCTCTGAGAAAAGGAAAACCTTCATTTGAGCCGTTCAAGCCCGCCTCTGGAAAACCGTTCATTTGCTCCTCTGGACCCAACTCTAGTCTGCCTGTCCGCCCTCCAACAGTTTCTGCACCTCTGGACTATTCTCCACAAACAGGACCCAAGGATCAACAAGAAACCCCCAAACGTGAGTCCACTCAAACTATTCATCAGCCTTGTTCAGTTTCCCTACGGACCTTGAACTTATCCTTTGATCTCCCCATTAAAGTTTCCGGTTCCGGTTCACCAGACCGCTGGGTTCCCCGCTGAGAAATACCTGCTATCTATCTCTCTCTCCATGCATTGTAACCCTCACCAATAAACCTGTTAACCTTTACTAGCTCTCTGAGTGTGTTTCCTGCATGTGGTTTGGATCACTCAAACCCATCATGACAGCATTATTTATTCCAGTCCAGGTCTTAGTCCAAAAAAAAGGAAATTAAAAATAATCTACTGGACTTTGGTTCCAAGTTTGAAGACATTTCGCTTCCCATCTAGGAAGCTTTTTCAATTCAAAATGTCAGGAACAGCATTGAGTTCGAGGTTTTATACAGTAGCCCATCAAAACCTTGTTTTTGTTTTGAAAACATGCAAATAGCAAGGACGAAATGGTTCACCCATTTGGAATGACAACCATGAACCCCTTCATCCTTTTCTATTTGCATGTTTTCAAACAAAAACAAGGTTTTGATGGGCTACTGTATAAAACCTCGAACTCAATGCTGTTCCTGACATTTTGAATTGAAAAAGCTTCCTGGATGGGAAGCGAAACGTCTTCAAACTTGGAAACAAAGTCCAGTGGATTGTTTTTAATTTTCTTTTTTTTGGATTGTTTGGAGCTAAAAATGCTACATTGGGTGAAAAAAGGTCACTTTTTTTGCAATGGAAAAGTTATCATTAGATGAATCAATATTAAATTAATGTATAAATATATACTTTGCTGGGTGGATATATTTTCTTTTATATGATATCAACATCAGTCAAAAATAATGCATACAAAAAAATTTCAACCCAATTAAATGTAAGCAGATCTAAAAGAATATCAGTAGTTTCAAAATCAATTGGTTTGAAAATCCAGTGCAAATATTTTGTATTTCTAATCACCACATTTTATTTATTTTATTTTTTTTATTAAACTAAAAGCTACTGAAATGTACATTGTACATGATAAAAAAAAATAACATTTTCCTGGTTGCCATCTTTGTAATGAAAGCTATGTTTCTCAAAAGTGAAAAGCCAACACTGAACAGACGGGGGTGATTGGGGTTTCAGCTCCAAAGCATACATAACTCAGTCTTCAAACTCCTTCTAAATAAATTACATAAACAGTGTCATCATGTTTCAGATGACCTACTACACAACTCACACTAAACAAGACTCCAACAACCAAGGAGATTTATAGGTTGCTCACTGGTGTGCATCTAACTTACGTAAATCCATCTGGATGATGGACTTCCATATGCTTAAAAAATCAGCAAGTTTTCCAATAAGTTTCTCTGGTGTGAGCAACTTGTAGTCATGTAAAAACTTACCTAATAGCAAAAATATTACTGTGGATAAGTAATAGGTCCAAGCCATCAAATAAAAATCTACACACCACCAAATATTTTTGTAAAAGTAAACTGGCTTTTCACTAAAGGCTGTATCTGTCATGATGGGTCTCTAGTGTATAAACCCACATGCAGAACACCACAGAAACGGGGTAAAAGTTTAACAGTTTATTAAAGGTTGAGCACACAGAATAAACAAGAACTGGTTCTGGTACAGGTCCGGGACAGCAATCACTGAGAATCTGCAGAGATGGATAGTTTGGTTAGCCAGGCAGCAGAGAAGATTTGATTGATGTTTGATTCAGATTTATACCTTGATGAGGTTCAGACAGATCACTGGAGAGGGGGAACCAATTGGGTCCAGAGACAGTGGGTTCAGCAGAGAGCTCAGCAGCAGCAGCGTCTAGCTTCAGACTGGAAAGTTTCAGACCTTGAAGTGAAGTCCTAGCTCTCCCTTGAGAGCTGACTGGGGAATCCAGACTGATTGTCTTCAGGTTTGGCTTCCTAGGGCAGGCAGGCAGGTTTCCAAGCTAACTCCTCCAGAGCTACAGACTTCAGTCGGACTTTCCTGTGAGCAGAGAAGACAGAGGCTGGTTAGAATCTAGTTTCTCTCAAGAGCAGACTGAGATTCTCAATGTGAAACAGAGGCTCAGGTTCCGCTAACCGAAACTGGTCAACACTCCGGCGAAGAAGACAGGTCAGGCTGCTGCTTAAGTAGGAGGTCTCCTGATGGGCTGATGATCCTCAGGTGTGCAGGAGGCTCCAGCCCAGGAGACCCACAGCGCTTTCTGCTGGAGACAGGTGGCAGATCTCCAGATCCCAACAGTATCCGAACATATCAATAGAAAGTTGAGCATAAGGATATATTGTTAGATTAAAAAAAAGAATACAGACAGGATGAATCATTGTAACTTTCAGTGATCCATTTATGTGCAGCATATTGACCTAAATATCTATTTATATATATATATATATATATATATATATATATATATATATATATATATATATATATATATATATATATATATATATATATATATATATATATATATTGTTGGGATCTGGAGATTCTCCACCTTCTCCAGCAGAGTGCGCTGTGGATCCTCCTGGGCTGGAGCCCTCCAGCACAGCTGACCTTCATCAGCTCATCAGGAGACCGGCATTTATAAGCAGCTGCCAGACCTTCCTTCGACGCCGCAGTGTTAGCCAAGTTTGGTTAGCGAACCTGAGCCTCTGAAATTACTAATCGTTATCTTCTTAGAGAAACCTAATTCTAATTGCCTCTGTCTTCTCGCTCCTAGGAAACCAGTCTCTCGAGATAAGCTCTGGATGAGCTTAACCTGTAACCTGCCTGCTTGCCCTAGAGAGCCAAACCTGAAGTCCTCACTCAGGAATCCACCAGCTGCTCTTAGGAAAGAGCTAATCACTCCAACCAAGGTCTTTTCACTGGAAGTCAGAAGCTAGACGCTGCTGCAGCCTAAGCACTCTGCTGAACCAACAGTCTCTGGACCCAACCGGTTCCCTCTCTCAGAACTTGCCTGGACCTCTTCAAGGTATTCAATGAAATATCTGATAACCCATTAAACTCATCTGCATACCAAGTTAACCAACTATCCGTCTCTGCAGACGCCAGAGAATCCTGCCCGGACCAGAACCTGAATCTTGTTCTTATCATTTGTGAAACATTAATAAACTCTGTTAAATCTTTTACCAAGTCTCCAGTGGTGTTCTGCATGTGGGTTTATCTCAAAACCGATCATGACATATATATATTTATATATATATATATATATATATATATATATATATATATATATATATATATATATATATACAGTATATATTTCACATTATACTTGAGACAAAAGTTTAACCTTGTTAAACAAAATTAGGTGTAAGTTGGGAAATATATACTCTATATTTTTTTGGTAAATAGGATTATATAGTGAAAACAATTAAGGGTGTTTAGTTTTTTATAAACTTCAAAGGTCCTAAGAGGATATTTAAAAAAAAAAAGGAGACCCCTAGAACATGTTATTGCCATTCAATACTCCCCTCTTTGCCATACTGGTAGCTTTTTACAGAAAGATTCTTCACTGTACAAACCCAGCTGTTATTCTCTTCTCCATTTCAGATTTCTACAAACCATAAGTCTGAACCTGATTTTCCCCACCCTCCAGAAATAACTCTTTGAAATAAACAATTTGAATTGTTTGCTGTGTCTCACTAGTGGTTTTCTGCATGTGGGTGAAGAAAATTCCCCAGACCATGTAAAATACAAGCTGATCACATTTGTTTATTTCAACACCTATCTCATGTATAATGGCTGATGAAAACTTTTGAGGCAGCAACATTGTGTGGCATTGTCTACATTTACACAAAATACAAGACACATTTTTAAGTTAAAAGGTAAATTACTAAATATTTAGGCCAACATGTTTAGCTAGACATGGATCCTTTTAAGATGAAGGAGAGACAGTCCAGATCTAACAGCTATTTTCTCAATTCACAAGAACTGTTGGGATCTGGAGGTCTGTCCACCTTTCTCCAGCAGAGGGCGTTCTAGGTCTCCTGGAGCTGAAGCTGACTTCCACACCTGCGGCTCGTTCGCTCAACAGGAGACAAGCATTTAAGGAGGGGCAGAGCAACACTCCAGCGCCAGAGTGTTTTGCCAGTTATGGTTAGTAAGCCTGAGCCAACCTGCCTGTCTGAATCTCTGACTCCCTGATAACCTGACTTGAACCTAATCTGTTTTTCGTCCTCTCTGCTTCTCAGGAAGAACCAGCCCGAAACCTGAAACCTGGAAGAGTTTCTCAGTTTGTGACCAATCTGTCTGTTCTCTGAAGAACCCTGGAAAACCAAATCCGTCAGATACCTGCCAGCCCGCCCTCAGAAGA